CACATCACCAGCTAGCCAGTGACCATTATGACGGTAATAAAGAACACATGGCCTTTCCACAGCTTCAATTATATCACAGAGACAATTACCACCTTCAAAAGGCCTGATGGTAATTACAGTTATTGCTTTGCTATAATGAGTAGCTGCACAACAGCTTTAGGTTAGCGCAGGTTATGGTTCATAGTTAATATCAAAGCGCTTCTTCAAAACAAGCCCGAATGCTTCAAGAGCAGCAGCTTTGAAAGAGCGAGTCGTCTCTAATCTGTCTAATTGGGAGACGCTCGTTGTAATGCGAGGGGTAATAGCGCGATCATGTTACATCTGCAGTGTGCTGCAAGAGTATAAACTGTGTGTCCAAATGCATCCACATCATCCAGAGAGCACATGTTTTAGGCTATAAATGTTCCTGCAGCTCCCGGAGTCACAGCTGTACGTTCTGTAGCTGCAGAAATAACAGTGAATCCATCTCCTCCTCTATCTGGCTCCATGTCTGCGCGCTGTATCTTGATGTAATAAAGCTCAACAGAGACCGTGTACATCAGCTAAAAAGTTCTCTGACTGTAACTTATCTCGCGGTTATTGTGAGGATCCAGAGTCTGATGACAGGACTCATCACTTTTTGGCTTCCTTGAGATCTGCGAGTAAAGGGAAGCTTCAATTTCACTTTCAAGACGAGATCAGAGGACGAGATTAGAGGACCTTATCGCTCTGCCAAGACTCCACCAGTAGTTTTTCTGTTTATGAATTTTCCTGCTCACTTTTTTTTTGCTCTTGTCTACGTCTCAGAAACTACTTTGAAGATGCAGCGCCGGTTTCACACCCAATTAGTTTTTACTCTGGTCGCACCGAACGACTCGTGTTTGAAAGTTTACTTAAGTGTACTAATTTTCAGGGTTTTTTTGGCGAGCTCAAACTATTACCCAGTATTTTTAATGGTCTGATAATTTGTAAGTAATACATATGAGAGGCAAACGAGGTACAAGAACCTGTGGAGATTCAGATTAGCTTTATTGTCATTGCAATGAAAGTAAGGTGCAGGCCTTTCAGTGCAAGAAAAACCTAACTATATACAACATAATATAAAAAAATGTACATAAAAAACTCTATATATAAAGATGAAATTAAACAATAGCACGAGCACAGTGGATATTGCACAGAGGTAGTGGCATATTTACAATATATTGCACTTATTAGGATAAAGAAGCATTTATGGCTCTGACAGCAGTTGGAAAGAAGCTGCTTTTCTGTCTGTTAGTCCTGGTTCTGATGGTCCTGTACCGACAGGAAGTGACCCGGGCTCTCCTGAGAAGAGCCATGAAGGTCCTCCAGTGTGGGTAGAGGGCACCCAGTGACCTTCTCAGCCATTTTGGTGACCCTCTGGAGTTATTAAATATAAAACTTTTACAGTTTGGCAACTTATAGGTAAGACAGTAGATCTATAGATGTGTGATATCGGCCTTTTCTGATTTGGGCAGCCGTTAGTGAAACTGAAATCTTGCTGGTTTTGTACAAAAAGATTTACACAAGATGCCACATACTGATAAAATGTTATCTTTGAATTAAAATGGAAAAGCACCAAACAGGGGCTACAATGGTTAGTACCGTTGCCTCGCAGCTAGAAGGTCGCCGGTTCGCGTCCCGGTGAGGACACCCGGGATCTCTCTGCGTGGAGTCTCCATGTTCTCCCCGTGCAGCGTGGGTTCTCTCCGGGTTCTCCAGCTTCCTCCCACAGTCCACAAACATGTTGAGGTTAATTGGTGATTGTAAATTGTCTGTAGGTGTGAATGTGAGTGTGCTTGGTTGTCTGTCTCTAAGTGTAGCCCTGTGATAGACTGGTTACCTGTCCAGGTGAACCTGCCTTCACCCTGAGTCAGCTGGGATAGACTCCAGCCCCCCATGACCCTGGTGAGGATTAAGCGATGTATAGATAATGGATGGATGGATATTGAATGTTGAGGTTTTGCGGAGGTCAGCATTTTCCCAGAACCAGGTTGTTCTGCTGGTGTTCAAAGAGCACGTCGCCCCTGGACGTCTTAATTGTCTGAATACAGCAACGTTTCCTACACGTTGCATCAGATAACGTAGGCGGTGATGTAACGTTGCATCAGCTCATACTTTCGGCTATAAGAGCCGGTGGCTGGTGAACGTATCACTTAGGTTTTCGTTTGAAATGATAAATCGAAGCGAGTTGAGGCGTCTGATAACATTTTTCGCCGTAGTGTCAGACTGACCAGGCTGATGGGTCGAGGTTAAGTTGGTGTGTTTGGAGAGGATCTGTCAGATGATAGTTAGCTTTACTTTAGCTGTAAAAAATATTGTTTGTTTGCACTTTCAGATTCAGTCCTTTGTCATGTAGTATCAGGAAATGAAAGGAAGTTACGTCTTACAATGAGGGACTGCATATTTTATGATTTTGGCCACATGCAACAAAAACAAGTGCTCTATAATTTTATTAGTAGGTTTATTTTACCAGTAAGACACAGAATATAAACAAAAATATAAAACATAGCGCAGAACCACATGTGAAAATTGTGATTATTTTGACCGATGTTGTGATTTGTGTCCCAATTTTAGCAAAAAATGCTAATATTTGCGTTTCCTCTCAACTTAAATATCTAAAAACAACAACAGTGAGATGTTTGGTGCATGTTCCCTTACACCTCCAGGATAAGATTTGCAGCACCACAGTGGTTCATTTATGATAGTATTTTATTTTATATTTTACCTCCATCAAGGAGCTTCTGCAGTTTTGATATTGCACTCAACCATTTCCCACTTCTAGCAATATGTGATTAATTAAACTCATAAGAAATAGTCTAAATTCATACCATAAAGTCTATATTTTTTATATTTTATACTCTGTGTGCTCTCAGGAGTTTCCTTTAAAGGAGACGCAGTGCACGTATATGTGTGATGGAATATATTTCTAAACAAAAAGCATCTATCTTTACAGCTGAGACATGTTTTGCAGGCAGGACTGTGGCTGTGGATGGATCGCAGGGTCAGCGGTTTGGTGGCAACACCTTGGCAGTGAGTGAGCTGTGAGGTGCTTTGTATAACCGTGAATGTTAAAAGGGTGAATACAGGAAATTATATGGACAACACAGTTCCCCCTATTGTTGTAATAAGTAGGAAAAAGTGGTGACTTTCATGAGTAAAACATACAATAACCGACATAAAACATGCATAAAAGATGGATACGTACTGTTAGAGGCAACTGGAAGTCCTTTCTCTTGCACCTCTTTGCATTGTGCACCGAAGCACTATTCAGGTTTGGCTCAAGGACACACTGCGCTTTTAATTCAGCCTCTCTGTCCGTGCTTGTAGGAAACTTTCCGCTCTCGATCCTCCAGCTTCATCATCAGACACCTTACATCACGTCGGGGGGTTCTGGCTGTGAGAGGCACATCACATATTAGTGATTACAGTCTTGTTCCCTCTGCTCTAATCTCCCATCGCCGTCTTCTTCGGGCTGCAGTTCGTGGAGCTAATTCCTTTCCTAATTGAGTCGGGTGCCGTTCACATCTGAAGTCACACACAACAGTGTGCGCGAGCTAATTTAGTCTCCAACCTACTTTTAAGCAAAATATTATTCACACCTCTCGTTTGATATCAAAAAAATTTCTAATTTAGTTTCTGGAGACCCAAAGGGGGGCAGAGGTAATGCTTTTAGACAGTGCAACTCTTATTAGCAAGCAGCTTTTTTTCTTTTTTTTTCCAGACAAAGGCAGATTTTGCAAATCTACAACGTCTCTGCTTCAGTCGGAGTGTGGGCCAGGCGGGGAAGCGTGAAGAGCGTTAGTGCAAATTTGCAATTCTAGGCTTCCTCTGATCAGCGTTCTGTGGAGAAGGGCCCGGGTAAAGCTGCCCATTCAGGAGCCGCGGTTGCACCAACGAATACACCCGAGCTGTCAAAGGCAGTAAACAAGCAAGTGTTTGAGATTCACATTTTGTGTGAGAGGATCGTGTGGGAAGGATAATGTAGCACGGCGCTTCTGTTTGGCTTCTCCAGACACCAGATACAGCTTTATTCCCAACAGGCTGACGATTGTGAAAGTCAAGCAAATGACCACTGCAGGAAAATAAAACGTGGGATTGTTCTGTTTACAGGACAAGCTGCTCATAAGACACACCAGATCAACCAAACACTTTGATCACGCGTGTTTTCCCCTTTTGCAGACTATCGTGTCCAAGTACGGATCCCAGTTCCGTGGTAACTCCCAGCACGACGCCCTGGAGTTCCTCCTGTGGCTGCTGGATCGCGTCCACGAAGACGTCATCCTGGCCTCCCACAACAACAACAACAAGACCAAAGCTCCTGGAAAGGTAAGAATCCATCCTCGTCATGGTCATTGTTTATTCTTGAGGCGATTCTTTTACAGTGGAGATAGAGACAGGAGGCCCACATGCAACAGGGGCCTGGGAGTCGGACTGTGGGTGTTGCGGTCACATGGTTTGCACCGCCGGGCCTCCGGTTGGGTTTTAAACTAAAGGATCATACCGCATGCCTAACTGATGCACAACTAATTCATGACTCTTTATGATTCAATCTGTGATTCATTGCATAATATATGATGACCTGCTGTGGCCCGATGCGTGGCCGAGTCATCATTATTTCATGTGATTACAGGAAACCTCACAGATCATCAGTTTGTGAATGTTAATCCACACTTAAGACACAGTTTTACTACGTTTGACCGACCGCACGTCTCTTTCTGGGTCTTATCCAAGAGGCTTCCTCAGTTCTGACTGATGGGGTATTTATTCTCACCTTTAAATCTCATGAGTCATGGCCCTCAAACAACACAAGACTCATGTGACTCGAGGTGTAAATGATGGTGAAACTGACTAGAGAGGGATCAAGACTGCATTATATGTACCTGATGTAGACGTTCTCTTCTGTTTAGAGATGGCTGTTGCAGTTTATTATGGATGTCTTCAGAAGAGCGTCCTTCATCTTTGAGATGCAAGTAGACTTGTGGAGCAGTTGTTTAGTCTTCCCTATGCTGGAGTCCGTGCACCCTTCATTGCATTAGACTACATATACAACTTTGGATGTTGTCTTTGGAGACAATTGTTGGAGGTTTTTCAAATTTAGAAGCTATATACACACATTTGATCACTTTTTCCTGCTTCTTGATGCTCTAAACTCTCTGTATTTGGTCTTTATCCAAGCATTTACAGCATATTCCAAGATCAGTGTTATCACATGAACTAATTAGGGATCGACCGATATCGGTTTTCCAGGGCCGATACCGCTGCTGTTTATCGGTAATCCAGAAAGGCAGATATTTGGAACCGATTTACATAACGTAATGTTTTAACAGCATGTTGATAGAACCTGTCATTCATAACTAGGCTTCTTCATTCATAAGGGTGGCCATAACTGAAAATGTAAAGTACAAAATACGAGTGATTAAATTGGGATGTTCTTCTCTGAGATAAGTCAGTTTGTCTCCTGTGTCTGCTGTTCTTCTCTGTTTTCTTAATAGTTTCGTCACTTTTATTGCCCACTAAGGTCCACATCTTCCTAATTATTGTTTTCCAGACTCTGGTTCAGGGTAATCTAAACTTAGCTGCTAGCCGTTAGCATAGAGGAGCTAATTTCCTGGTTTGTGGCAACAGCTTGTGTTTGTTGTTCAGTTCAGAAGCAGCGAATTTAACCAATAAAAATACAAATACTGATAATCAATAATCCCCCAAACAATATCGTATTCATTGCATGCAGCGGTGTAGCTAATGCTAACATCCAGCATGCAAAGTTCATCTTGGCACATGTTTTTTTTCTTTTTCTTTCATTTGGTCGTATCTCCATGTTTGTTCTTTATCATCAAGCTAGCAAGTCCAGCCTCAGCGATAAGCCCGTCCTGAGATGTTCTGATAATTCTACAGACAGCGCCACTATCGTTGGCTCTTCAGAGGTTAGCTCCGGGTCTGGTGATTCGTTCCGCCGAGCGGTTTTCACGCTCCCCAAACCGGCGGCGTGGCAGTCTGCAGGCATGAAACCTTGTTCTGTGTTTGATGCGTCGCCCGTGGACAAGGAGGGATACAAGCGTGGCGATTTGATGTTTGATTTTTTCTCTCAGCGTGTTTCCTCCTCGAGGTACGCCGGCAGGCTCGACGCATCCCCAGAGTCAGAGTGGAACTTTGAACTGCTCAGCTCAGAGCCATTAAAGCATCATGGATTATTAAAAACATGTTGTTTTTTTAACTTTTGAAATAGACATCCCTCCTTTTTCTTTGTAGATTTATTCGAGCGATAACCAATTCATGAGAAGTGCTGTCGGTGAGTCATTTAGGCGACTCGGTCCCCTATGTTTCCCACAAGGCAATGATTTGTTCTGTTGTTTCATCATCATCATGTGGGATTGTGAGATCAGGAAGTTTCACACTCCCAAGGCTCCGTCTTAAATACTTTGATAAGACACCCATTTTTCAATTAAAGTTCTATAATTGACACCTTTCACTTCTTTTAACCATCATAAGGCCAAGGTTATAGTAAAAGTTTCAGCTACCTCGTACAAGTAACTCCTTTTCTTTAGTTTAAGTTCCCCCGTCTTCAGAGACAAATTAGGAGATATCAGTGCGGTCTAACAGACACAATATGGACAGCGGCTCACTTTTATCCCCTGCGTACGACCAGCTCCCTGCATTAATTAAAGCTTTATTTCTTATAACTCCCAAAGTTCCACGTATTTCTTCTACAGATTTCTCTGGTGTCGCGTAACAAAGTTTCCCTCCTGCTGTCCTGCTTTGGAATCTAGGATGAGCGTGAAGGATCGGGTGAGGTCTGGCGGGGGAGGCGGAGGTCTGGACTGTGTCTTAGTGCACTTGGGTGTGCAGAGGACATGACAGGAGGCCGCGACTGGACAGCTGCTGATAAGGTCCGTCACGAGGCCGCGGCACCCCGAGGAAAATGTCACCGCACCTTGTTAACGCCGAGGAGAGCCGGGGAGGTGTGGAGGACGTGAAGCTTTTGAATCGTGGTTATGATTCATTCGATTGGAGTGTAGCTCTTCAGTCCAGTGAGGAACGGACACAGTTTTTACATGTTTCGTCATAAGCAGCCTGATATCGGGGCGGACTTGTTTTACCCAAACACTAATCACATCTGACTGTCTAATACTCTAAAGCTGGTGTCATGTGAAGGATGAGCGTGTCTGTGGGATGTTTCAAAAACAGATTATCAAATTATAGACTCGTGTCAAGAACCGTTACTGAAGCAGAAGGCAGTAGGAGTGATGATCAATCCTTGAACATTTTCCTAATTTTTTGGTATCTGTATTTCAAAAATGTCCTCCTTTGGCTCTGGTGCAGCTGCCTCTGTCTTTAGTCACCACCAGAGACTGTATGAGAAAGATGGACGTCGCAACCGGCCCTAAAAAATAAAGCCAAACCCGATATGGACCCCCCTAACAATTTTAATAATATAAATAAATATGAACATAGACAACAAAATTCAACAGGTAATGAATAACAACAACCCTAACCTGGGGTCCATGTTCCGCTGTGAAGTATTGACCCCGGGTCCATTTTCAAAGGGGTCCATATGCAATACGACACCGGAAGTGTCAAAAACCTGCAGTACCACTACGTCCACTAGGTGGCCCGTAGAGCCCAGTTCTAAACAGGATGACACAGATCACCAAAGACAGCTTCAATTCAGCTCAGGATTTTACTGTCGTTTGTTTTCGTGGTCAAACCCAGAGATCAGGCGGCCAATCTGAAAATAATCCAGTATTGAATTTTATATAAATCGTCAGCGTTTTGGTCATGTGGGGGGGGCGGGGCTATTTGATTGACAGTCTGCTCTGGGATGATTGACAGGTCGTACGAACGAGGCAGCCTCATTCGCTGAACTAAAATGGCCAATATAGTAAATGTTATACCTCATTAGCATTAGCATGTTAGTAGCATCGCCACATGATGATGCTGTTAAGTCATAGAGCTGCATGTCTGCAGAAGCTTCAGCCTCATTAGCAGGGACTGGTATTACCTGGAGACCCTCGTAAATTTGTTATAATTGAGTTTCTGAGTTCTTAATTTCCTGTGAATCTTTCATGTCTTTAATTTGTAAAGAGGTCGTGTGATGGCATCTCTGTGGTCTTTTCTTTCCTCAGCCTCCATCCTGCTTGAGATTTGGCTCTGTGGGCCATTGTGAATGAAAGTTTGGAGCATTTTGGTTGCAGATTTGGGAGCCACATGGAGAGCATTCACAGAAAGCTGAAATCAATTAGTTGTGAATGTCGAAGGCTGATTAGATGGATGACAAGAACGGCAACATGCGGTTAGCAGCAGTTAGCATTTGACAGCCTATTTAAATCATGTCGATGGATAATGTTAGTAAATTTGAGTAAAACACAGGCTTTGCGTATTCCATATGAAATGCAGACGTGGAGATTTAATTTTTTAACCATGCGAGGTCTGGTTAATACCTACTGAACCCTTTCAAATGGGGCTTTGTTCATGTAATAAGTATTAAAGTGGAGCTGAGGTCTGCAGAGTGACGTATAGATGGGACTTCTGCTGTTTCCATATGTTGTCCTTTTGTGATGCACACAGGATCCTGTAAGGTGAATGAGCAGGATGAAACCATGCGTTTCCTGGAAAAATGAAAAGTGAATATGATTGCAATGGTTAACAGTGATGATATGCATTGACTTCAGCAAACTACAAATCAAAACTTTCAATTAATGCAAAGTCTTTCTTCCAAACCTCCTGTGTGGACACGAGCTCGGGGGTTTAATCAGAACAACGAGACTGTAAATGCAAGAGATTAAAATCAGATGCCGCTTGACAAGCTGGCAAGTTTGTAATAATCTTTGCAGAAGTTTTAGCAGCCGTAAGCTCATTGACACAGCGTGTACCTTCCTAATCCGTCAACAGGTGCCAGGACGACGCTGCAGCTCCTGATCTGGTGCAACTCGTAGCATTCGGCTCCGTGTACAGTCCGTGATTAGTGTATTTTTGCCGTTAGCCATTTCACAGGACTGTGAAAACCTCTGATATGTTTTATTAAGGCTCATTTGAGAAGAAGATGATGCTTTAATAGAATGTGCTGCCTGTGCAGAGATATCATTAGCAGGGAGAGAGAGATGGGGGAGGGGAGAGCAGCTATGTCTCTGTCCAGAGGAGAAAATCTCTTGTGACAGTTGTCTCTTATGTTTGTCCAGGCCTTCCGCTATCAGTAGGGGTGGGCTCTTTGCAGACATCAAGGTTGTCATGGATTTCATTTTTATCTGTGAGGAAACATGCGGTCAGATAGATCCTCTGCTCAGCGGCGACAGGGAAATAATTCCAGTAATGTGTGCCCCTCCATGAATCAC